GGGGGGGGGGGCTCTCCGATGGCCACCATGACTACTTTTCATCCTGATGACTCCAGGGAATATTAACATTCGACAACAGCGACACTGAACAACCTCAGAGCGGATGTAGAACACCAAGAAAAATCACGCAAAATGTAATTTTCTTCTCTTGCTTTTTCGCCAAGTATGTTTATAACAATGGTGCTCCGACTGATCGGCCACCAAATGTGACTGGCTGATTTCTGCGGAAAAGTACGTGATCGGCATATCGATCAGTGCCTTTCATTGCTGATCCCCCAAAAAATGATTAACGGCACCTTGTACTTTTCAGGCTGCAGCCAACTACAGTGAGCAGTGAAGCATCTCATCCCCCTTTCATTCACACTGCATGGTGCTCGCAGCAAACCAAACATGCTGCCAAGTCAAGCTTTTGAGTGTGCAGCTAATCCATGTGATTGATATCAGTAACATAAAACACTGATCGAAACACCTCTAGTTGATAAGACATTGGGATCTGGTGCGCGCGCGCACACACACACACACACACACACACACACACACACACACACACACACACACACACACACACACACAAACGGTCTCGAGCTGCAATTTGGTGCACTGATGGAAATGACAGGTCCAGTGTTATTTGAGTCTGGTATGGAGAGGAGGGGCCCTTAGGAAACGAGTGGAGAGGCGGCAGGACGGCCTGAGAACAGTGGGATTTGTTTTTTGGGGCACTAACTTGCTGGAGTTGCTCGGGTGTGGAAATTTCCATCAGGCAGTCAGGCAGGGAAAGAGGGAGCGATGAAGAGGAAATCAATAAATGCCATCGTCTCAGAAAGGAAGGCTGGAAAAATAGGGAGCATTACTGCATATGTAATGTTGCTGTCCAAATGAAATTTCAAATTGTGAATTTTCATATCCACAGAAGAGCAAAAAAATGGAGATCTGTAGGCAGAAGTGATGAACAAAAATCAGCAGTCTGCAGCATCATTGCATATTTTCTCTGTGCAATGGAAGACACGAAACTCAAAACGTGACATTTTAAGACGTGATAAATGGAAACTGGACATCATGTTTTTTGACAAATTCATTAAAAAAAAAAACAAAAAAAAACAAACACAAAACTGTGCATTGTCAATAAGGCACTAAGTTAGGTGACCTTTGTACTGAACAACATGCCCTTGTTCTCCCCCACATGTTTGCAATTTTTCCCACTGGAGGCGTTGAATTTTTGCAGGCAGCAACAACGGCAATAGCATCAACAGCTAATGGGGGAGTATTTTCATGTGTCAACAGATTAGACAGGTTTGTTAATAACATTTGATGCCCGCGATATGGTTTGGCTTTAAAATGTGATGTTCAGGGTCATTTTGGATTACCCTGTAAATTTTCCAGCAAACTTCCAACAAGCTCTATTTGCGCATAGAAGAAAGCAAAGTCTCTGGCCGTGTTCATAAGGAAGGTCCTTGGAGCGTACAGTGTCGTGGAAAATTGGTGCTGTAATAAGCTCTGCTGAGATGAAGACAGCATTTTTGGAGAGTGCCTCTTAAATGTGACAGTTGGATTTGCAGAGTGGCTCACCGCTATGTAGTATCACTTCTCATTTCATTGAGAGGAAAGAAATTAGTTCACTTGTAATTTAAATTGACAATATTCATTTTTGTATATACAACTATATTCACTTTTTGTGTCTTAAAGGTTTAAAGATGACTGGGATGCAGATCACCTTCACAATTAAAGCTAAAACTACTTATAAATGGGATTAATCTTTCAAATTTGTTAACGATCTACACATAAATGTTTGAGGAAAGAAATCACCACAAAACCATTCAAAAAGTGAGTAGCTTTACTTTTACTTCAAAGAAGCTCAACTTCTTTTTACACTTGGAATTATGCTAAAAATCAGTTAAAACGCTGTCTGTACAATTTATATCAGGCACAAACTGACCACAGAATGGATGATATGCATTAATCCCCTTGGAGGTCTCAGTCTGGTGTGGGGAGTGTCTACATATAGGTTGTGAAATATGCATTTCAAAAAAGGACGGTGGGGTGGGGGGGGGGGCTTAATGTCAAGACATTAAAGTCCAACTTGACATGCTAATCCATCCACACATCCATTTTCTAATCCACTTATTCTCACGAGGGTCGCGGACGTGCTGGTGCCTATCCCAGCTGTTTTCGGGCAGTAGGCAGGGGGCACCCTGAACTGCTTGCCAGCCAATCGAAGGGCACACATAGACGAACAACCAGTCACGCTTACAATCGGACCAAGGGAGAATTTAGAGTGTTCCATTAACCTGCCATGCATGTTTTTGGAATGTGGGAGGAAATCGGAATACACGGAGAAAACCCTCTGGAGAAAACCCTCGCAGGCACTGGGAGAATATGCAAACTCCACAGAGGAAAGCCAGAGCCTGAATCAAACCCTGCACCTCTGCACTGTGAGTCGGACGTGCCAGTCAGTCATTCACCGTGTGGCCCAACATGCTCATCATAATTACAACTAATTACAGAAGTTGAGTCATGTTTTTGTGGCTCTGAGCCCATTTGGCTGATGCATCACAACACTCTAGAACATTCCAGCAAAGGGAAGGGATGACTGTAAGAAGAAAACATTATTATATAAGTATTATCATGGAAAAAAAATTTAAAGATGCAAATTATGTCATGAAACAAACTTAACGGACATGAAACGGGTGATTCGGAACACCTTAAAAGCAAGTCAGCATCAATACCACTTTTAAGAAATAAATACCTTTATATGTAATTGATAATAACTAGGCATGTGAATCCAATCAAAGACAAATGGATACACAGCTAGATACATGGGATGCAATATGTTTCGATTGTGGTTTAATTTTGAAGTGGAATGATTCAATTTGGTTCCATTCAGTGGGATTATGAGTCAATATGGTACGGCTCAGTTTGAGAGGATATGCCGCAAATTGTTTGTTTTTATTTGACATGCATTATGAAAAATGTCATTTTAAGTTAAACTTGTAACATAAAAGTGGTGTTAAACACTTCAAGGTGGGGGTGGTGATCAGATGCAATTAATATTGATTCATTTGTCTGTTTAATTTTCAAAACCATTTTGTGCTGAAACGAACATTATACCCAGTGCGCTTACCACACGTTACCAGATAGATCCCTGAGGAACTCGATTTAAATGAAACGGTACATATCCACTAAAATGACCATACAAATACACTAACTGAGAAGGTTCTGTTGGAAGCAACAATCATCATCACAGTAGGAAGAATATGTGAACATGGTCGTTACGGAAACGCAGTGAAATGTACTTATTTTAAATAGAATACTCAAAAATATTGTTATGATGACAGGTGTAAGAAAAAAATCAATTTAAACGCACAGGAAAGGTCAGGAAAAGCTCATTTAGAACACCTCAACCTCCAGAAAGTCTCAAACCAAGAGCGAGAAAATCTTTTTTTTTCGAATACGAATTAAAATAATTGACTCGTTAAGTGATTTCTTTTTCATGGAACGACCTGAATCCATCGTCGGCTAGCCGCAAGCTAGCAGTTAGCTCCCAGAGAAACACCCGATTTAAATCACAAATGACTGATTTTAAGAAGTACATCAATTAAAATACTAATGAATAATCAAACGCATTACAGCAAAGTGAAGGGACACCTAAATGATCATAAGAATAAAAAATACTGCAATAACTCGAAATCTCGCCATATCAACGCCAAGTGAGAGCTTCATTTTAAAACTTGAGCCTGACAGGTGTAACAAAAAAAATGGCGTTTAAACGCACAGGAAACGTCAAAAACATCTGTTTCGAAATACTTCAACTGGTAAACAGGCTAAAATTTGAACAACTTGCATCAGCACTGCCGTGTTTATTTAGAAAGCATTTGTTTCTGCTTTCCCGAGCTTAGATGTGATGGAACGAACCTTAACCCCTGTCAGCTAAACGCTACTTAGCAGTTAGCGCGCCATAGACTACCCAATTGAAACTACAAATCATCAATCATTAACACAATAACCATGCATAAAATGCCAAAATAAATATAGAAACGCTCGACGTGAACTCATATATAGTGCGCAACCCTTCCCCAAACGGAATAGGGCGTTTCACATCTTTAGCTTTAGCGAGGTTAGTTTCTATCCTGAACGCAGAGGCTAAGCTATTTGCATGGCGAGCTAACGCCTGTCTTACCAGGTCAAAACAAGCACGGACGCGGGCCGAGGAGCATCGATTTCCGGCTTGCTTTCGCCGGATGGCCCGCTGCCTGTCTGGCTCCGGTTGGGTGACGAAGAAAAATACGCGAAAGGATCACAGCGGGTGCTGAAGACTAGACGTCGGGCTCATTGTACTCAAGATGCTGCAAAAAAAAAATTTAGATCAGCCGGCTGCTCTTATTCCCGCTTTGCTGTTGCAGATCGTCGCCGAGTTCTCACACACCCCTCCGAGGACAGCTAAACTCACCCCGCCTCCTCTTCTCAACAGCAGCCCTAGAAGGGGGGCGGGGGCAGCTGCCAAATACGGACCCCGCCCAGCTCGTTGTATTGACTAGAGTTCAATATTTGCGGCAAGATTAGACTCGTTACCGGGTCAAAAATGTCTTCTTTACTATGCGCCTTTGAATGTTCTGTTTGATTTTGTTGGCAAAATTGCGAATCGAACAAAGGCACGTCGCTAACGTCACGCTTTAGGCAAGCACACTTGAAAACAGTTTGCTTTGTTCCACTGTTCTTTGGCTGTACGGATGTAACAGACATTCATAAGATATTCACAATATGTAAGAACATATGATTTTTAAATTATAGCATTTGGTATGTGACAAGTTGAAGTGATGATTTTTTTTATTGACGTTGATCATGGAAACATCTTAGTTGATCCATTTTATTATATAAGAGAATGCCTGTTCACGTGTTATCGTACATTTTCTGAAAACATACTTGAGTGTATTTTCCATTTCTTTACGTTCTGTAAAAACATGTTTTTCGTGTGAAAAAGTAACTTTATTTTGAGAAATGTACAGGTTGAGCTAGCTTCACATGGTAACCTTTATGTTGGCCCATGCCATATACGAGTAGAGGGACTGAACTATGTTAAATCGTCAAATATGTTTTTCCGACTTTTTCACTTTAATATTTTAGCCAGCTTTGTTTTCCTGGTTGAAACTAATCCGATAATGGATATTAAGATTCGTAAAGCATTGATGCAATATATCTTTATAGACTGAACGGACTCGCAAACACTTTAATGTCAAACTAAAGTGTAAAACGTTATTGTGTTTTTCTGCCTTTATTGAAGCCTATAAAGTGCTCTATTTTCACTCTATCGAAACAAACACCCATATTATACTACATACATATATTGGGGGGCTTTTTGGGTGTGGGTAAATGGTGTTACTGTATTCTAGAAAATGCTCGAATTGCCGCGAGATTCACGTGGTAACATTGTTATTGACCCATTCTGAATACAATACAGTAGCTCAACACCCCCATCTGGTGGAGGAACTTATTATCAAGCACTAAAGTGTGAAGTTTATTTTTGTTTCGACTTTACTGTAAAATTAGTTCTTGTTGATTTTAACACTTAAAATATATTATACATTAACATAAAAATATGCACAACTGTTTTTGTTGGTCCATTCTTTCGACGAACGTCCTCATCAATTAATTAAATATGGTGCAAAATTTGATTCAAAGTATTTCCGTGCGAAAATTATTTTCGTTGTTTTCACTCAAGTTTTAATGGAAATACTCTTTCGGTTTTCTAATATTAACTATTTGTATGTTTTTTAAGGTATTTAAAGCCTTTTACGAGTGGAAAAGTTAGGTCGAATTCAAGAAATTTCGAGAATGGACCATATGCACGGCCACACATCTCGCATTACCAGGGGAAAGATTGTACTTTGAAGAGTTTTATGTTGTCACTTTTGCTATGTGTTTGACGTGCAGCCAGAAGGTAGCAGTTAACTGCTTCACCCTAAATGCGAAGCTGCTGCGTGCATAGATCGTGGACCAATATATGACTGAACTAACAATTAGTTAGACCCAGGTAACTCATGTCTGGGCGAGGGAAACTGAGGTCCAAATATGTAATTCATCTGTTACGTGGATGTATGCAAATATATGGACCCAAAAAAATAGCAGAGTCACTCGCATCAACCACACAATTTAATTAACTAAGGGAGCACGTAAGATGTGAAATCATCATCATAGGAAGTCTAGGAGCCGTACTTTGTCTGGTCCAAGGATCTTATTGCTTTGGATGACCCTGACAGTTGCATAAAGGCCCAGACAATTAAGCCCCTAAGGTCACTGGTATACACTCTACCATGATAAGGTGATGGCTCAAGGAGGGGTTACATATTTAACCATAAAAAAAAGATCATTAATCATTATTAATAAATATTATGATTAATCGTGTGTTTTTTTAAGCCATTGCTCTCGTGAATCTGTTAAAAATAATACATCTCTTTGTTATATTATCTTCTTACTTGGTATCTTTTTTATTGTCCTTTGGTGAACCCATAGAAGGTACATTTAAATGTACAAATTATATCAGACAATCTGAATTTACTGGAGATTTTATTGCTGCATTCATTATTTTTGTATACACTCAATGGAATGTTGAACGGTGTGTTGGTCAACTAACCCACCCCAAGCCCCGAAAACATTCAAATTAAATATCAAAACAACTACAGTATAATGCTGCCATTTTACATACACAACACTATAAAGTTGCTAATAGACAACAATGTTTACAAAATGCACTTTACGTTGCATACAAAATAGGAGTAATGTATGTTGTACATACAATATTTTCAGGTATATTTGTGTGGCAAAAACTGAAAAAAAGATTTAAAAAGTAAGTGTAATTATTATTAAGTTTATCTCTTGATGGCTTCCACAGAAGAGGAGGGTGATGTACTGCAGATATTTGCGACATCATAAACAGTCCTGGTCGTTGTTGTTTTCTTTTATTTTTCTTTTCCTTTTTCTGTTTTCTTCTTTTGGTGATGAAAAGAAGTCAAGGTTTTAGGCTTCGTAAACCCTGAAGAGAAAAGGAAAGAGAGGCAATTGAAATACGATTTTTACAAAGTTGCATTTGTTGAAAAAAAAAAGAAGGTTTTTGGTCTCTTCACAGCGCTTTGATATCTTCTCTGCTCCTTGGTGGGAATGCTGGTGTATAGCATTATTTTGTCATTTTGATTATGTTCAATAAAGTTTTGATACAAGCCTTGTAATTAATATTTTGCACCCCCCTGCCCCACACACTTGAAATGTATTTATATTTTGCGTTTTGAAAAAGCATTGTGGTGCTGTGTACTGTTTGAAAAAGGTAGGCTACTTTTATTTTGAAAAATAACAACTTTTCCATTGCCCCATAGAGAATACACAATGTAGTTGAATTAAAAGTGTATTTTAATGTCTTGTTTAAATTGTAAAATTCATTTTTTCAAAGTAAAGTTTTGATGTTCAGGTTGGCATTGTCAATTGGTTAGCATGTCCACCTTGCAGTGCAGAGGTCTGGGGTTCGGTTCTGGGCTCCGCCCTTCCTGTGTGGAGTTTGCATGTTCTCCCTGTGCCTGTGTACCTGTAGTTTTTTTTTTCTGAGTCCCCCCCACCCACCGCCCCACAAAAAAAAAAAAAAACATGAGATAAATCATCCCTATGTGTGGTTGTGAGTGTCAATGATTGTTTGTCTAAGAGTGCTCTGCGACTGGCTGGCAACCATCAGGGTTTCCCGCCTACTGCCCGAAGATGGCTGGAATGAGCTCCATCATGCCCGTGATCCTCGTGACGATAAGTGAATCAGATAATGAATGGATCGAGATAACGGTTGCACTGTATTTCGGATTACTATAAATAAATCTAAAACTGCATTTACATTTTTTAAAAAGCATCTTGGTTCTGATTTCCATGTAGTAGTACTGGTACTCATATTTGAGAAAATTATCCCATTAAAAATGCACAAAGTGTAACTGATTAAATTAAATGTGTACTTTAGTCATGTTTTTAAATATGACTTTGTGTTTTCAACATACGTTTTTATTACTTGTGGTTCATAAATACAAAAATAAATAAACATTTAAATGATTAAACTTTTTTTCATCTTGATTCTGTCCCATTGATAGTGCAGAAACGTTTATTAAATTTGAAATACTATGAACATGCAGGGTCGGTGTCATACTATATATGATGTCACCAATGGTTTATCTCAATAATTGTTGTAAACAGCAGACAGATGGTAATAGTCAGATCTGAATATAAAACGTCTTCACCTGTGCTTGTCCTTCCAGATGTGGAACCACTTGACCAGATTCTTGGTGCTCTGCAGTTTCGGATGCAGACAGTACTCCTGACCCTTGAAGCGAGCCACGTTCTCCATTGTCACGCTGAAGGGGAAACAAAAAACATGATTCTATAACTGGTTTGAATCGGTCAAGAAAGGAAGGAGGAAAAAGTGTAAACATTTTATTTCATTTTTTTTTAAAGTTGATGTGGAATTTTCAAAAAAATCTTTCAGAAATGTGGGGGTGGGGGGGGGGTGGAAACACAGGATGTCCTGAGTGTAAGGAATGCTTTCAAGTTGGAATGATTAAAATAGATTGAGAAATGTGGCATGAGGAGGAGACAATGTACAATGTGTCTTAATTCATTCAAATATGTCGTAGTTTATTGTGAAAAGGTGGGAATTTGGGGAATGGGACAAATAGCTCCGTAGATGCGATGAACAGTTCGAGGTTAGAATGGTCTGAATCGGTTGAGAAAGAGCTAAATTCTCTCTGCTCACCATTCACAAAACTGCATCTAAACACGACGTCATTTAAATTATATTATAGGATGTCATACAATATTATTGTATGTCCTTTTCTATCATATTGATTGTAGAGCACAGTGATTAAATCATATGGGATCATATCCAGTCGTAATGTATCAATCATTTTTAATTGTATTCGACCTTGTTCTATTGTATCCTTTGGACAGAATTGTATCCAATTAGTACATCAGAGGATATCATATCTTTTTGTTCTGTATCTGTCATATCTTAGCATACAAATCGAATTAGATCGCATGATACCAGATGTAAACAAAGTTTGATTGTTTGATTTATCCCGTTGTATCATATCTTTCACCACATATACCACCTTTTGTACCAATTGGATTGTATGGTATCATTTGATATCGTACCAGTCGCATTGTATCCTAGCATGTCCTGTCAAACGGTATCTTGTCCTGTTGTACCTGATTGCATCGTACGGTATCATATCCTTTATTGTATTGTCTGATTTCATAGTCGATTGCATTACATTTTCCGATGCATTGTACATTGTCTTATCTACTATGTCATTGAATGCGCAGTAAAAAACATATCGGACACAAGCAGAACAACATGCGGATGATTGGCTGCTTAGTGAAAAGTGCCATTGTGTTTCATTTAGTTGAAGAGAACAAATACTCACTCTCACACACACACACACACACACACACACACACACACACACACACACACACACACACACACACACACACACACACACAGAAGCTTGAGAACATTCCTTCTTTTGAACGACAAATGGCAGCGCTTTGACAGACATTAAACTCGCTTATTGCATTATATAACAATACGCTAAAGAATTTCGTATGTGAACTCCATGAACGAGTCTGGCTTGTGGGTAACCTCTTGCCTGGCATGTGGCACATTCAGGGCAAAGGGAGAGAGAAATGTGGGAAAACACCCAGTATGCCTTGGGCCTCTCCATCCAACCGCCATGAATGTTAAATGAGTTGACTTGGAGACAAATAGGCCTTTGGGAGGGGGGAAAAAAGTAATTGATCATAGCATTAGATTAAAGGCTTTTTGCGTCAGTTTTCTGAACCAGGTTCTTTCGTGAGATGTCGCAGCATGATATGCAAAATGTGTGCACGTGTGTGTGTGTGTGTGTGTGTGTGTGTGTGTGTGTGTGTGTGTGTGTGTGTGTGTGTGTGTGTGCGCGTGTACACAAGTGCCTTTGTTCCTCACCGTTTGCTTCCGCTTAGGTTTCAGACTCACTCAAAAGGTGAAAGTCCACTTTACAGAGAAATCATTAAAAAAAATACATAAATAAAAACATTTTAAAACAGATTTACCTCTCACTGCTCGCACTTTAAACATGTTTCAAACACACTTCATGAACATACTGTATTATAAACCCACAAAAATGCAATCTTAGAATGAATAGAATATACTGTGTGTGTGTAGTGTTTATGCATGTGATAGGTGAATGTATGTACCTTTATAAGGTGCATGTGCCCTATGGATTAGCATTGAGTCATTCTCTTTTTGTGTTTTTAGTTTCACCATAAACTTCAACTGCAAGTGGTAAAAAAAACAGTTTGAAGAAATCACTTGGCCTTTTAAGTATAGTCCAAACTGCATAATACGTCTAATTTAAAGTACAACAAAATGGAGGTAAAAGAGACGAATGAGAGACGATCCAGGCCCCTCTGGCTGCCAGTCAACCAGAATGCCCAAACAAGCCAAACAATACTGCAAAATCAACAAAAAGATACTTATTCTTCTCTCTCCCTTTCACTGGGCACCAGTAAGGTGGTGCCCCCACCCCCCACCCCGTCACATGCTAATCGAGTTAATGTCTGCATATTTACATTCAATGTCTGTGGATTATTTCCACACACACACACACACACACACACACACACACACACACACACACACACACACACACACACACACACATTCATAAACTTGAAGTGACTTTTTCTTTTTAAATTAGTCAATGCAAATTGTGTCTTCTGTCTGAAAACATTCAAAAGTTAACAATTTAAAATCTGGGAATTTTCTCAGTGAAGCACTTAATTGTTCTTGTTTTGTAACACATGTATTGCTTTACTTAAGCAATGAAACAACCATATTGTCATTAAATGGTGGAAAAGATCAGTTAAAACATTGCTAAAAAATAATGAATGTAAAATGTCAGCAGTTTACACCGAATGGAATCACCAAAAGACATCTAAATTTTATTTGGGTCATTATGATTGAAGAAAATTGCCTTTTTCCATCACTACGATAGCACCTTAACAAGTTGAACGTCACGTACATTGTAATGAAACATTTTTATCACGTAAATTGTCACAGAAAAATGTAAATTTCCAATGATATTCAACCAATGTAAACGTTCATAATATTTTTTCCTCTTTATAACAATTGCTTTGCTTTATTTAAGTAATTTAATTTTAATTTAATTAATTTAAATTCTTTTTTTGAGTGTCATAAAAAGGGTGAAAACAACCCATCGCACTTGAAGATCTGGATGAGAATGAAACAGTAAACTTGAGGTATCGTTCTTCATAACAACCTTGCCGCTTTACCTGAGCACTGACACAACAATGCTTGTTATCATACGATGGTGGAAAACATCCATATGAATAAAACGTAAACATTAATGTTATTTTCAGGCACTTTTGGGACCATGTCTATCCACACAAGTTGACGATTTGTCTTTATTTTAAAACGGCATTCAGTTTAATGCTAAAATGTATCTAGCTGTTTTTTTCTGGAATGTGATACCACAATTGACCTGCAGATGGAAGCCAAGATGACATATTACGCAACTGCTGTGAAGCTGACATAACATCCCCCAGTTGTGATTCTCCTTCACTGCACATCCCTAGAGCAGAGTACAACAGAGATGAAGGAGATAAAATAAAATAAACCTCACAATATCATCTTTTCCTGGCAGTAGGGGTGTTTGGGTTTGAGCTCCAGCTTTTGCACATCCTTGTAGCGGATCTTTGGTCCTTTCCTGGTGCACCTGCACTTGTAGCCTAGAGAAAAAAAAACCAACAACAACAAGAAAATATACACTCAAATCAACTTCTTTTTTTCTTTGATGTCATATTATTTTGAGTAATTAACATGTCAAAATCCATTCATGTTGTTATGGTGGAAGTAAGACGATTTCAGTTACGTAGCCCTTCTCCCAGAGAGGACTCAAAGGGCTTTACATGGTTAGAATATAAAGTAAAATGCAGAGTGAAAACCATTATTAATCCAGCACTGGTAAATATAAATCCAAACAATCAAACAAGTATTTCGAAAACACCCACGTGCATATTCATGCAAAGACCCACAGACAAAACTCACAAGCACACACACACACACACACACACACACACACTTAATTGTTGTAATTGATCATATTCAACTGTAGTGATCTCTCACTGGCCCCATTATGAAGTACATTTACCTGATCTGCATGAAAAAAAAAACAACTGCAGGGCTCGAGATAAACTTTTTTTTTTTTTTGCTAAGAGCACAGTGGCCCCTACCCTGATTTTTTATTCATTATTTTTTGCAATTAGGTGTACACATGAATCACAGATTGGCTTGCAAAGTAAATATTCACATTTTACTGATAAATGAGCAGACGTGTGGAGCAGAAATTTGTCACCAACAAAAATATTCAAGAATTAAAAAAAAATAAATCAGCAAATATATTAGTCACAAATTTTAGGGAAAAAAGGCCACTTTTTCCAAGGCAGTCTGGGGCCCTGAAAAATGCCTTTGCAATGATTAATTGGTTTAATATTATGAAGGTAGGCCAACATCACATTTGTTTGTAGGTGTACCCAATCATTTCTCCATTCTTCAACATTCATCTGCTTCAAGGGGACATTGCCCCCTATTCACTGCATGGCTGTGTCGTGAGTGCCTGATAAAATGAATTTATTTTGGCTTGCGATGGTGGGGCGGTGGGTGAGTACCAAGGTTGGTTACATCCATCAGCCGGCGGGCAAATAAAGCTGTCACATTCCTCACAGCCACTAAACCACATGACAAAAAAGGCCAATCAAAACGTTGTTAGTATTTTAGTTTTTATTAAATAGTGACAGGTGATTTTGCGCAGAAAAAAATGGTGCTCTTACACTTCTTTTCCAATAGAAATTTCCAATGTTACAAATCACACAAACAACAATTATTCCACTTTAAAGCCGATGGGAGCAGAATGATTCTTCTTCACATAATTTGTAGGGCTGAGCCATAACTGCTCCACAGATGGATTGGAAATAAAAGTAGCACTAAACATCAGATTAAAAAAAAAGAAAAATCCAGAAAAAGCACCCAAAAATAAGATTTTTTTTTTTTTTTTTTTTTTTAATACCGGTATATATACTCATTTTATTAAGCTAAGCTACTGCTTCAACACTTAAGTAACACTGTTTTGGAGCTTTTTTTGGACAATGACAACAAATACTGTCTTCAATACAAAAGTAAAGTTAAATCCGAATAAAATTGCGGTGGGCGTTTCCCACTGAATGAAATAAACAACTCATACATGCAAGTTTCCATGAGCAAGAGGATTTTCTTTGGTCTGCGATTCACATTCTTCGTATTAAATGCAGTACAATTCATTTTAAAAAATGGCACCACCTTGTGGACTACGAACTAATCACTGAACTAACAATTAAAAACGGCAAAAATTCTGTGGATTAAATGCCACCTTTTAAACTACCTCAAGACTGCTTAAAATGACACACTAGGGAAGAACAACAACGGAAAAGGGCTATTTAGAACTGTTGTGATTTCAAGATAAGATTCCAATCATAGCACAATGAAAATAATTTGCGCAAGCAGGATTTTCTTCAAAAGAATCACTGATCTAAATCGGGGTTGGCTGCCTCACCACTGAACTAATGACTCAAACAACAACTTTCCCCACATCTAATCTGGTCATTCAAGGCATTTTCTCCATGAAAAACTACAAGTGACATGCGTCCTGCACCGCCATGAGCTTTGTATACTTTCTCTCACGTCTATTAAACATATTTACTTCAAGATCTATTAAATTTAAGTTCCTGCCCTCGAAGTCCCCCTCTCTATGGAGCCCTGTGCCGTGCCTTTAATTAAATCAGTTCAGTTGTGTGTTTAAATGCCATGCACATACAAGAAGTTGAGTAGGAAGCTTTTGCAATGCTTTTAGATGGAATATAAGCACTAAAACAAACAAACAAAAACCCCCACAGATATCAAAACAGCAACATTTCTACACAAAGAAAGAATTTAATAAATTCATAAGTGTACCTTCGGCACTCAGGACATGTAAGGCCACCACCAGCACAAGTAGCACCGCTGTACACCGTAGCATGTCTTCAACCTTCTTAAAAATCCAAAACCAGAGCACTGCAAGCAAAAGAAAAGTGGGGTGGGGGAGGGCAGTGTCAAAAGTGTCTCACACTTTTGAAAGTCCACTGGCGGCGTGGATCGTATTGAAGGTTCTGTGATGGAGGAGGTCCACGTAAACACACGCTCTCACCCGACCGCCTGCTTAGCTGCTGCTTTTAAAAGCCTCCCGCTGTCCCCCTCTGCTCATTAATATGCACCGCCAGACGGCCAATCACCACGCAGGAGAGACAAGGAGGACCCTGAGTCCGTTTCATGAGAACATATCAAATGTCTGTGTGTGGATACGACCAAGAAAACTTTCATTTCACAATTCACTTAGTACACAATCTATTGACTAATTATATATACGGGTAGCTCAAGAATACGAACCAATAGTTAAGACAATCATTTACCTATACAGTGGTGCCTTGAGATCTGAATGACTTACAAGCTTTTTGAAATGGTCAATTGTTTGCTTTGACTTGTGAGCCAAAATTTGTGATGCGAGCACTGTGTGGTGGCAGTGAGCTCAACTCAAATACTACAAGTAGTGATTTGGCAGCGAGTGAACAATTGATCAAAAAAGAGGCTTCTAGCTCGACAAGTCAGTTTTCAGTCCAAATAAACATAACACAAAGACAATTACATTTTGAGTATTTAAAATAACCGCATAGCTTTGTTTTAGATGAATCAGTTTAGCTTAATTCTGAAAAATAAAACAATGCAACAAGTTTGAGAAGGTCTCATTGCGGGGTTATAACCCCTTAAGCAGCAAATGAACCCAAATGCTGCGGCAACACATGTATACAGAGACAATATTCACAGGCTAATATTCTTTAACCTCTGCAAAGAACAACAAACAACGCTGCAGCTGACCGAGGAATTTTGACCATCTCAATGTACGGCTATGTGTCCGTATTATACTGCCCTCAGGTGGCCAAGGCACACACAGCGGAAGGAGAAGAACAATGTCCACTGAATTGAAATAAAAAATGCGACAAAAACTGTTTGATAATTTACATTTGAATTCATGGAGCCATGACTGTATGTTTTTCAGTGCAATATTTTAGACTGCTATTTTTCTGAACAACAACAAAAACTAAAACAAAAGTGTGTTTTTTTTTTTTCTAGGAATGAAATAATGGCATTTTCAGTCGTTTCTGTAAGAGAGAGCCCTGAGAAGAAGGTCTGAACCCTCCCACCTGGGACCTTTGGGCCACAGCCTTCATTGGATTCATCTGTCAAGCATGTATGGACGTGTGTGTGTGTGTGTGTGTGTGTGTGTGTGTGTGTGTTTATGTGTGTTCATTGCCACATTATGCGATCACTCAAGCCAGCGACCATGAAGCGTCCGCCTGCGCGGTCACCATCGCATTACCTTCATGTGTATGTGCACACTTACATGTGATCCCATGTGAGCGTGTGTGTGTGTGTCGGGGGGGGGGTGCCAGCTGTCATGTGATCATCTGACCCCTGGAGGACACTGCAGCTAAGGAAGGGTCTATCGCCAACCTTTTTAATTAAAAAAGAAAAATAAAACATGCGACTTGAGAACAAAAGTTTATGCTAAAGGTATCAGATGGGCTCGTTCTTCCTCACCAAACTCATCCAAGCATGCTTTTGTTCACTGAGAGCAGAAAAGGGCCTTCCTTCCTCTTCAGGGAAAGGCCAATATGAGTCAACCAAATTGGCAGACTTCCTGTGTCTTTTCTTGGGCATGCTATGTGAAATGTGTTCGGACAACATTATCTCTGAAGGATTGCTGGAAATGGCAAAAAGGACCGTCAAATGGCTATTTCAAACCAAAATAGCAGCCTTACAGTGACTTTTCAAGTACAGGTTCTTCAGAAAATTTTGTGGGTCTACTCATGATAGACACGCCGACCAAATTTGATGTTGCTTGAGAAATAGGGTTAGACAAATTTGTCATTACAGCATCAAAAAGGCAAAAATTTCCCCAAAATGGCTGCTTTAAACCAAAATGGCAGACCTCGGGTGCCCTTTGAAATTGAAGGATTCACAAAAATGTCCAAAATGTCCATGTCATGGGTGCTTCGAACTAAAATGACTGACTTCGAGTCAAATTTTTGAGACTTTTTGATTCTACTCATGGTAGCTATCCCGAGACCAAGTTTCATCCTACACAGTAAATCTGGCTTTGGGCGCTGAATTTAAATCAAGAGGGCACTACCAATACAATTTTTTTAGAGTCTACCATTTTCATAATGTCTGTAACATATCAGGAATTGACTGTCAGTGCCGGCCCTAATAAACACACAAAGTTATACTGTACCTATATGACAGTGTATTAAAGTATATTAATAATATATTTAATCATTCAAGCTGAGCCTAATGCTGTGGCCAGCAGGCATTAAAAAAAGTTTCAATTTCACTAGGACATTTAAAAAGTTCCTTGCCTTTCCAAAAATACCAAGACCCAGAGCAAGGCCTCTAACTGAAGAAAACACATGTCTTTATCTCATGATCTCGTGTGTCAAAAGGCGTACCGAAGCGACTGACGCAAAAGCTTGTTCCTAAAAGTTCGTAATTGTCTGATCAAAGTCTTTCGGGAGCTTGGCGCATGAGTGAAATTTCACACACAAAAAGCATTCATAACTTTGCTGCTGTGAATTGGGAATTTCTCCATTGCGAGACTAATAAAGGTTTTCTTATCTTATCTTATCTTATCTTATCTCCTTTGAAGAAAGAATTAGCGGCCCATGCGAATCGGACATTGAGGCATCCCGACCACGTCTCTGTGCACTTATGAAAGCTTTTTGGACGGCTTGTTTACAGAACTGCTCCCAGTGTGCTGAAGCTGTCCTCTGTTTGCAGACTTTTACTGGTTCAGTCTCGAGTCAAACCTCCAGTGCCACATTCTGAAATGTTTAGTTTGAAGGGTTTTTTTTTCTTTTAATAGTGGGAGTGTGTTCAGAGGTAGAAACAAGGACTGAACAACATTCACATCAAAGCTCAACAAGGGATTACAAGCTCCAACTCTCACAAATTGTCTTTTGAATTGTGACGATGGAATTTAGACCGCATTCTCGTACAAATATTTACTGTAATAATGACTTTTCAACAGTGTTAGCATTGGTTAGCAATTGACAGTGGCATGTTTCGACTTGCGTACAAATTTGGGCTCCCGCAAATCACATGGAATGTTATTGGCTGGCTGGTGAATATAATGGCAGGCAATATGCTTTTGTGTTTGAGTATGTTTACAATGTGTTAAACATGTCTGGGTGGGCTGTCTCTATATTGTGGATTATCACCAATTACGGGTGGGCCTGGAATGTTTTTCCTTGTCTCGTGTTATTTCAGCAATTGTCTCATATCTGGACGGCAACTCTTTTGGTTATTCACATTATTATTATTTTTTTTTTCATCATCATCAAATGGTGCCTGCTTTCCAGATATTCATGGGACCTGACATGAATCAGCAGCCCAAGGCAAAGAAAAGAGAGATGTGCAAAAGCTAAGTGTGGGAAAGCAGCTGAGGTGTTCATAGAGAAAGTGGGCGGTTCTAAAAGCCCGGGGCAACGGTGTAATTACCCCTTAAACTAAGTGTCACGAGGTTTGCCACTAAGTGTTTTGGCTTTATTGCGGAGCCAGTGAGTGCAATCACTGTTAACCGTTTCAACATTTATGGGACAGTAATTACAATTCAAAACCTCACTCCTCTAAGATCTGTCAGCATCATAAAATGATCATATTTCATTTCTTTATGTTCCATGTCAAAGTTGTGTGCCCGTTCGTGAGAGCTAGCATGCACCTGCGAACTCAAAGCAAACGAAAAGGAAAGCAGTGAAAAGAACACTTGAATGTATTACCGTGTCAAAGCGGATGATCAACATGACAAATAAAACGCCACATAAAGGATGTGCTAACATGTTTGGAAGGTAAAAGGGAAGGAGGTTGCACTGTTGAAAGATGGATTCCATCTAAAGGCACGAGCACAATCTGCGTGCGTGCATGGCAAAGTATCCTCAACTTTGTATTGGCACGCTCGCATATAAGCAGCTGAACTCATCTGACAATGAAAAAAATGAAACTGAGAAAAATCCAAACTTTTACCATCATTACTATAACTTTTAGGCCGTACAAAAAAGTGTTTTTTCTTTTTCTCAAGGGTTAGAAAAAAAATATGCGGGTGCACCCTTTTATATGTGTGTCATGGCAGTGCTCAGAATTAACTCTATGGGAATCAATACACACCTGGCTCTGCATCAAGTCCCTCTAATTAATCACCATCACATTGCAGATGTTCAGCTGTTTGGTTTTGTTTGCTAGCAGAATGCTAACTGTTTTGTGATAACACTGACTACTATTTCGATCAGTTCATGATTCCCTCCACCTCATTTAAAGCTGCAGTTCCATCTCAAGAAAAGCAGCCCCAAAGCATGATGCTGCCACCACCACGCTTCACTGCAGCTATGGTGTACTTTTGGCGATGAGCCTCGTTGTGTTTACGCCAGAAATACTTTTTGTAATAACGGCCAAAAATGTTCAACTCTGGCTTCACAGGAACGTAACAAAATCTCCCTAATACATGTGGAACAATGTTGTATGATTACAGTGTCTTTAACGTTGACGTGACAATGTCACAATGTCAGTTACAGCCTTTTTTTTCATGTTCCAAAGTAAGTTGCATTTCTGTTTTGGATGTTTTTTCAGCCACATAGATTGTGACACTGTAAGTGCCACGATCAAAGGAGAGATGGAGATCCTGGATATCAAAAATCTTTTGGTGATTTTCATGTTCATACATGTGTCGCAGTGCTGAAGCTGCAACCTTCTTTTTAGTTAACAGATCACCAGTCTGCAAATGCTTAGAATGTGGAGTCACAATTATTTTTCTCGCCTCTTCTGCCAAGACAGACGGAGGGCGTCTGTGAACAGATGCAGGAGCAAAGTGAGCCATTTGTTTCCCCTTTGCACATAGACCAAGAAAATACGGAAAAAAAGGCCTCAAACAAAACAGGAGCTGTCCTGACACGCACCCTGTTGCTCAATTTCACACATAACACCGAAACGCAGAAGTACAAAAAGAGAAGATGTGGCGTTGAGAGATGAAATGTGCTTTTGTGGACGGCAAAAATGAAGTGTTCCACAAGATGGAAACTCATGCTGAGCTCAACAAAATCGGTTGAATAGTAGTTGCATTCC